GCAGAATGGCAAACTGTCTTTCTATACAAGGTCTTTTAAGGATAAACTGTCCAATTAAGAAATGACACCTGAACTATTTTCACTTTTAACCCAATCACTAATCACTCGATCAGTCTGCACTGCGGACTTTTCTGTTCAATTACACAATACCACCCAAACTCATGGAGAAGATGATGAAAAGGAAGGATCAACCTCCACCCTAAAACTTTACTCCATCTTACATTATATATATTACTATTCTAAAACCACAAACTCTCCCTGTGATATCACACACTTCTATTCAAACCCCACACCCACAATTCCAGGTCTGTCATTCCATTCTGGAAGCTTCTCCACAGCCTCAGGTCAGTGCAGTGTTCTCCTGGGGGTCAGAGCCTGGCAGAACAGAAAAGCTGAAATTCTCAGCATCCAGAGCTCCAACAGGCCATGTCCCCTCTGTCCCTAGGAGGGGAGAGGCAGCATTCTGGGTAGCTGCTGGTTCTCAGCTTCTTTTTCTGCCTCTGTGGAGGTCGGGGTTGAAGGGGCTTGGGATGGTATTTCGTGTTCAGGCTTGGGTGTTTGTTATTTCTTATCTGTGTTACAAGTGGTAAGTTCTGCAGCATCCTACTAACAAGCTGCAGAATGGCTAACTGTCTTTCTATACAAGGTGTTTTAAGGATAAACTGTCCAATTAAGAAATGACACCTGAACTATTTTCACTTTTAACCCAATCACTAATCACTCGATCAGTCTGCATTGCCGACTTTTCTGTCCAATTACAAAATACCACCCAAACCCATGGAGAAGGCAAAGAAGGAGCAGCCTCCACCCTAAAACCTCCATCTTGCTTTATATCTATTACTATTCTAAACCCCAAACTCTGAGTTTCCCACCCTGTGATATCACACACTTCTAATCAAACCCCACACCCACAATCCCAGTTCTGCCATTCCATTCTGGAAGCTTCTCCACAGACCCAGGTCAATGCAGGGTTCTCTTGGGCGTCAGAGCCTGTCAGCACAGAAAATCTGGAATTCTCAGCATCCAGAGCTCCAACAGGCCATGTCCCCTCTGTCCCTGGGTTGGGATGGGAGATCCTTGGGGAGCTTTGCTGCTCCCTGGGGTTGGGGTGCAGTCCTAAGGAAACTGTGGAGATGGGATGGGAGCTGGGGGTGCTCACCTGGAGAAGAGAAGGATCCAGGGAGACCTTGGAGCTCCTTCCAGTGCCTCAAGGGGCTCCAGGAGAGCTGGAGAGGACTTGGGAGGAACAGGACACAGGGAATGGCTTCCACTGCCAGAGGGCAGGGATGGATGGGAGACTGGGAAGGAATTCTCTGTGAGGATGCGGAGGTTTTCCAGAGCCCTGAGGTTTTCCAGAGCAGCTGTGGCTGCCCCTGGATCTCTGGAAGTGTCCCAGGCCAGGTTGGACAGGGCTTGGAGCAGCCTGGGATAGTGGAAAGTGTCCCTGCCCATGGCAGGGAATTGAAACTGGCTGAGCTTTAAGGTCCCTTCCAACCCAAACCATTCCATGATTCTGTTCCTGTCCCTTGCACAAAATCAAAGAGTGGCTGAGGTTGGAAGTGACCTCTGGAGATCTTCAACCCCCAAAATCCCTGCTGGCAGAGGATGGGTTCAGTGAGTTCTGTAGGTGCCTGGCTTGGTTTAATCCCAGCTGACATTGACTTTGAAATAAAAAAACAGTTTATGTCCATTGGAGTCAAAGCTGGGGGAGATGATGTAGTTCAGGCTATTGCTGCCTTATTTTTGTCTGCCTTATTGAAGTAACATCCTGGTGATTTAACAATTTCCACTCTGCTTCATGGGGAAAAAATTAAATTAAAGCTTGTCTTCTGATTGCATTTTCTGGTATTGGCCAATAGCAGAAAAATCACACCATGTAACCCAATACAGTTACCTTTAATTCATGATTCTGCAATAGGAAATTCAGGCTGGTTTCATATAAAGTCTGCTCCTTTCTGGCTTTCTGAGTCAAAATAAGCCCTGGTTTAAGTGAGCTTAAATTCCCTTCACTGGAGCTTATACTTGATCATGCACTTGCAGTTTTTGTTGACTCAAGGCTTTTCTTCAGCTCCCTGTGTGGGATTTGGGAGAATCCTAGTGCCAGGAGTCTTCCCAATCAAATAAGAACATAAAAGCAGTTTTTCCTCAAGTAGAAATATGTGGTATTTCAGAGCAGAGTGCCTTTTTGGGGGGTTTCTACAGTGAATTTAATGTCTTGTCCATGAGGTGGCAGCAGAGTCGGGATAAAACAGGACAAAACTACTCTTAACTTTTATATCCCTCTTCCTGAGCAACCCAAATAGTCCTTTTAAAGGATGATGTAACATTTTTAAAGGTCTGTTAGGGCAGTGGACCTAAGAAAATATTAAGAGAAATAATAAGAATATAAGAAATAATAAGAATATAATAACAATAAGAGAAATTTCTTAAATGTGCTGTTGGGATTTTTAAGTGCAGAAGGCACTAAAGTTGTTAGAAAGCATTTTTGTCTTAGAATTTATGAAAGAGGAATCACAACACATCTTTCAAAGTGTCAGATTTCTCTCTGCAGACGTGTTTCATGCTTCTCTTTTTCCCCCTGAACACAACTTCCAAATTACAGCTTTTGCTGCAATGAGATGAGTTTGGGGATGAACAGAGCCCACTACAGTCAGATGTTCCCACCCTAGGAAAGCAGCAGGAGTGTTTCCCATCCCTCAGCTCTAATGAAGGGGTGTTGCAGTGGCTTTAATTTGCAGTGGCTTTAATTTGCAGTGGCTTTAATTAACTTGCAGTTTGATTGATGCATCCTGGGTGTTTTTCCCCTCTGTGCTGGATGCAGGAGCCGCAAGCATCGGGAAGGGCCTCGGTGGGATGCTCTTCTCCAGGTTTGGCAGGTCCAGTGCCACCCCCCAGACCATGGAGACAGGAAAAGATGGCCCTGAGGGGGATGAGAAGAAGGCCACGACTGTTGGGACCCCACCTCTGCCCCACAGCAGCTCGGGGTTCCTCGAACCCACAGGTGAGTGATGCCCACCGTGTGGGTCCAGGGAAACCAGAGTGGGGTAAGGGCTGGAAATGCCAAAACTGCACATGAGAGGGTTTGATGTTGTGGGTTTGCCATAAAATAATAAATGTTGAATATCAAGGCCAGCTTAGACAGGGCTTGGAGCAGCCTGGGACAGTGGAAGGTGTCCCTGGCCATGGCAGGGGTGGGATGAGATGATTTTTAAAGTCCTCTCCAACCCAAAGCATTTGGGGATTTTGTGAATCTGTTCCTGTGTTAGATTGGAAGGGACTTTAAAGTTCATCCCATTCCACCTCTCCCATGGCAGGGACACCTTCCACTGTCCCAGGTTAGCCCTGTCCAGCCTGGCCTCGGGCACTGCCAGGGATCCAGGGGCAGCCACAGCTGCTCTGGGCACCTGTGCCAGGGCCTGCCCACCCTCCCAGCCAGGAATTTCTCCCCAGTATCTCATCTAACCCTGCCCTCTGACAGTTTAAACCCTTTTTTTTCCACCTGAACTCCCAATTCCCCCATATATTTCCCATTCTGAAGCAATCGGGATTTTAGGACATGTATGACTGGGAACAGAAGCTGCCCTTGTCCTGATCTGAACTGCTCAGGACAGAAAGTGCAATTTTAGCAGCTGGGTTTTTTGAAAAGCATAGGTCCTTCCTCTCAGGAAATTCTTCCTTGGATTTATTTCTGAGCTCCCCCTTGGCACTCCTGCAGGACACACAGGGGATTTTTTTGCAATTGATGGAGTCACAAGTGTCCTGTGACAGCATTCACATGATGGATTGCTGTCTGTTCATCCCAATTGCAACAGATAACCTGTCTGAGTCAGTGTTTGAGGGCAGGAAGCTTGGGGTGAGACGTGAGGGAAGCAGAGAAGCAGCACAGGGAACATGACAGAGCTGCCAAGGGGGTCATTTCAGGGGGGCTGGCACGCTGAGAGCTTCCTGCATGGATCCCACATCCCTCCCTGCTGGAAAGCCATCCCTGCTCCATAGAAGGAGAGCGTGGAGCAGGGCTGGCAGCTGAATGATGCAATCCCCACCGAGCTCTGCTCTCACAGGGCTCTGCTGGGGTTTGGCTCCCGCCCAAGCTCCCGGAACGGCCTCTCCGATGGCCCTTCCTGCCCACCCAGCCACGGGGGTTTGTGTGGATATAAACTCTCCTGCTTGGAAATGGCTCTGCCTGTCTGCTGCTGCTCCCTGGCTCCCTGTCCCTGCTGCAGAGTGGGGAGCAGCTCTGGGCAATCAGAGCCCGTGTGATGCTCCCTGTCCGTGCTCCTCCAGCCAAGAATCCAAACTCCTTCAAACTGCCTTTGAGAAATGGCTGCATTTTCCACTCAGTCTGGGCCTTTGGCTTTTGTAGCTCAGCAGGCTTTTAGGTTTTTTGTCTATTTTATTTTTTTATTTTATTTTATTTTATTTTATTTTATTTTATTTTATTTTATTTTATTTTATTTTATTTTATTTTATTTATTTTATTTTTTATTTCTGAAGTGCCTTAGCAATAGGTTGACGTTGGCCCAGTTCAAATGCAGCGGTAATTGCTTTGAACGTGGCATGAATCAAAGCAGCCATTGAAATAAAAGGGTAACTGCTGAAATACACTTGGAATAATCAGGATATTAAAAGGGCAGAGCTGTGGAGGGATGACTTTGCAGGAAGGGCTTGTAGTAGTGGGTGTAGTCTCCTTGTGTAGACACTAAAAATGCAAGAAATCCATTTATTTCCAAAAGTTTCCTAGTGGGGCCTCAGCATTTGCTGGATATCTCTCTGTAGTTATCATAACAAGTATAAATAAATATATTTATAGAGTTACTATAAGGAAAACAGCTGCTTGAAAAAAACCCTGTCTTTTCCCAAGTTGAGAATCACAGAATCATTCAGAAAAGATGTTTAAGACCAGGAATAGTTTTCTTTTTTTTGCCTTTTTTTTTTTTTAAACTCTCTTAGGTTTGTGCTAAATGCAGGAGGTGCATTAAAATGTATTTCTGTATTATTAAATCTTGGTTTAGTTGAGTGCCCTGTGAAATGTAAACACAGAGATGCTGAGTGTGTTGTTTGTGCAGAATGAGAACTCGAAACACCCCGGTGGTTTCTGCAGCTCTGACATCCCTCTTGTTCCTTTTCTTGTTCCTTTCCCAGTGGAACTGGAGCACAGGATCGACTTTGAGCTCAGGGAAGGTCTGGTGGAGAGCAGATACTGGTCTGCAGTCACGTCCCACACTGCTTACTGGTCATCTCTGGATATTGCCCTCTTCCTCCTCACCTTCATGTACAAGCAAGACCAAGAAGAGACTGACAAATCCAATTTAGACACTCTCTGAATCTTGGACTGAGGGCAGGAGAGGAAACTTGAAAAACCAATGGCACAAAGCAGATGTTTGACTGCAGAGCTGCAGGACCAGTGGCATGGAGGTTTCAGGTTTAAGTGCATGTTTGGGGGGTTTTCCTATTTCTAAAGAGGAGAGGTTATTTGTATTTCAAAGCACTTTATAGTTTTCAACGTTTTGCAGTGCTGAATTAGACCTGAAAGGGTTCCAAATTCCTGTCAACATGGGCTGTACAAAGAGCCAAGACAGCATTGTAGCATCCCATGAGCAGTTGTGCTTGGGTGACATCCTTGTTAATGACCATAATTGCTGTTTAGTTCATTAAAATATTTTAAAAAAATTAGTGGGTTAATAAAAAAAAACAAAACAAACAAAAAATACAACAACAAACCAAACTTAAATTGATTTCCATTAACAAAAAAAAAAAAAAATACATGTTCAGTACAAACCTAAACCTGCCATGTGCTGATGTTTTATGTACCTGTGAATTACAAGCAGTGGTGTCATTTTTCCAGGACTTTATTCAGCTCCACATCCAATTATTCCCACATTGGAAGCCCATTCTGACTGCTGGCTTCTGAGGTCCTATCCTATGTGACACATTTAGAAACTAATGCTGAACAGAAAAAAAAAAAGAAAAAAAAAAGCATGAGGCAAATATTTGAAATACTGTAATTATAATTTATTATTCTCTCTAATCGTTTCATTTTATTCCAGTGTATAAAACATTACTTTTTTACTGATTTCTTTTGACATAATTTAAGAACCACATTTATTTTCTACAGTGTTAAGACTTTTTCTCAGAAATACATATCTTTGTACTACTATTCAAATGAATATATGGACACTGTGGCACACTTTAAGTATTTTTTCATTAAAAATAAATATTTGTGGTTTCACACAAATGAGATCAGTCACCTTCTTCTCAGAGGTAAGTGCCTTTGCTTTTTCAGGTTCCAAAAGTGAGATTGGTTTGCAGAGGACCCAGCTGTCCTTTGTTTACCATAATTAAATCCATACATGTGTGTGTTTGTATAAAAACATATGGATGTGTATATTTATGTGCAGGGGGAGGGAGGCACCATAAAATAAACTTTGTGAGGCCTGAGAATACCAACATTTAGATTAAGTTTGTATCTGAAACTAATTCAGAAGTCAAGAGGGAAGTGTTGGGATGAAAGGGAATGATCTCCAAATAAAACACCAGAGGGTCATTGCTGAGATTTTAGAGCAGGGCTCTGGAGCAGGAGTGTTGGATATTTGCCCTCAGAGCTGCCTCTCCCTGAGGTATTTATGATCTGGATGGCACATGTGGGAGCTGCAGAGCCTAAACTTGAGTTAAAACAGCAAAATATTGTAAAATAGCAAAATATTGTAAAATAGCAAAATATTTTAAAATAACAAAAAGCCTGGGCTGTGGTGTTGGTGAGTGAATCGTTGTGTTCTCAGTGTGAGCAGATGTGGCAGCATCAGCCCAGAGCAGTGGCTGGAGCTGTGGAAAGCCCAGAGTTCCCTGCCTGGGGGAAGAGAGTGGCTCTTCTCCCAAATTCTGTTTATTTGGGCTGCTCCTTCCATGAAAGAATTGGGAGTTTGGATTCTCTGCTGGAGTTGGGGATTTGGGAATAATTCTGAAAGGGGAGAAACAAAGAGAAAGGGAAGGGAGGAGTGGAGGGGAGTGGGAAAATGACACAAACAGCGCTGCAGTGAATATCCAACGTTCAGCTGGTGGAAAGGACCTTGCTTCAGTGTGGATCTGTGAAAGATCCCATCTGGCCTCAAGAGAATTGGAGCTCTCCTGCCTGACCTGTTTACCCTGGTGGATGAGCAATCCCAGGAAAGGAAAATAACCCCTGAGAGGAGGAAGCCTCTGCTCCAGCAAACAGCCTCGTGTTTACAGGACTGGCCCCTCCAGATAAGTTGTTTAATCAACTCCTCCTAATGAGGACAACTTAAACACGAAAAGGAGAATCTCCTTTTATATTTAGACCGTGCAAAACGTTTCCAAATGTGCATGGTTGGTGTTTCAGGGCTCTGAGCTGGGCTGTGGTGCTGCTGCCTTCTCCCTTTCCACCACTGGATCCACCCTGGATCCTTTTTTAAGGGCTGTAAACAAAAGGGGTTAATTCCTGCAATTCTTGTGGTCTGTGGAAAGCCTGCTGTAGCCCAGGACATGTTTCAGATTTATGGAATAGCTGTTCCCCTGGCCTCAGGACGTGCTGGGACTTGCTGCCTGCTCTCCATATAAGGGAGGAGATCCGACTTGGAGGTGCTGCGTGCCCCTTGGAAAACAGGGAGAGCTGAGGGGTGAATCTCACTGCTGGGAGGAGAAGGGACAGTCAGATCCAATACCTGATCATCCCTTTGTGCTTCTCCTGACTTGATGGGTGTGTTTATTTGTGATTCTGCCCTAATTAGCAACTTCCTGGACCACCAGCTGATCTCCCGAGCTAAATTCCGAATATGAAACACACCTTGAAAGAATCAATGGGGACTCGTTCTAAATTGTATGCAGAGGTGTTAAACAGCCTTTCATCTTTGTAATCCTCCAAAACCACCCCTCCTCCTGCTGCAGAGGTGAAATCCTCTCTGTTTGCAGAGCAGATGCTGAAGGGGCTGGAAGGGTTTGCCCCATTTCTGTTGTGGTGCAGCACAGAATTCAGGCAGGGTCACGTCTGCTGCTCCAAACTCCCTGGTCAGATGCTCTGTGTCATAATGTGGAGCTGGAATGTCCTGGCTGCCAATTACTGACTTGTTTTCCTCTGCAAGGACGATGTTGAGCTTTCCAAGCTGTGTTGACTGGTGGTTTTTCTTGAGAAACCAAGATAAGGGCAATGCTCCTCACTGCTGTCAGTCCTCTGCCTGATACCGACCTGTTTTCCAAACTTGGCCTTGAGGTCTTTGTCCAGCTTTGTTGCTTACAATGGTTTTGCTACAAGGTCATTTTTTGCGGATAATGAGCATGAATTTTATTCTTTTTCTTCATTCTGTCTCCTTGCTCCTAATTATTCTGTCCTGGTTCTGCTGCAGCTTCCTCTCCATTTGCATTCACTCCCTCCCTGCTCCAGTGCCAGAGTCTCTGCACTCAGACACCCTTTGCTTTATTTCACCATGGACAGTCTGGCTGGCCAACTTCAATTATTTTATCTCCTTTCCTAATTACTATTATCAGGCTGAGCTGAACCATATTTCACGTTCCCACATTTCTATTTTGCCACCTGTTTTTCCTGGTTTCCTGCTCTCCTGGTGCTCCTTTCCCATGTGCTTGGCTCTTGAGCTGACACTGATGTGTCTGAATTGTTGGGAATTGATTATTTTTTCCCAAGCTGAGTTCATGAATCACTGTGTCAACTGTTTGCACTGAGTTAGTTAATGTATATTGGTGTGCCCTCTGCCAGGTGAGTTTATTTGGAATTCCTTGTTCCTTGTTTTTTCTGTTATTAGCTTGGAGATGAGATTTCTGCTTCCACACATATTTTATCTGCTGAATTGGGACTGCAGGTGATTGACCTGTGCAGGGTCACCTCCCCAGGCTCTGCCAAACATCCTCAGTCACCATCAGAAAGCTTTTACACACCAAGGCCCAGCTTGAGCTGTATTTAATAATAATTTTCCTCCAAAAGAAAAAAAAAATCTACAATTTCTCTTGGTTTGGCTTTTTTGCTCCCTCTTTTTTTGGGGGCTTTTGTCTCTTTCCCACTGCACTCCAACCTGTTCTGCAGTGCTGGGATTTCATTCCTGCTGGAATCGCCGTTTGTTTCGTGCTTCTCTGAGCATCCTCAACACTTTTAGGGGAAATCTTGGGACCCTTTGACCCCCGAGAGTCCCATCCTGCTGTTGTGATCCCCAAGAGTTCTGCTGAAAGCTCTGCATCCCCTCTGGATGTGCTCACTCCCAGGATGGCTTTGCAATGTTCCCTCTCTGTGTTTGTGCCTCTCTGTTTGCTGCTCCCAGCTCAGCCCCAGCACTGACAAAGCCCTTTCTGTGCTTGTCAATGAATTCTGGCCCTTCAGCCAGGGCTGGGCTCTCCCAGGGCTGCCTCCTTGCTCCTCGTGTTTCTCCTGCCTCCCTGGGGGCCCATTTGAGCCCCACTTTGCTATAGAAATCAGAGTTTTGTGTTTCCCTGCGTGCCTTTGCAGAAGCTGCAGCGCTGCCAGCGCAGCTCTGAGCGTGTCAACACTTCTCCTCTTCCAGGAGAAGTCCCAAAGCAGGGAGAGGAATACCTGGAAAAGTTTCAGGTCACCCTGGGGGTCAGTGCTCACTGCTGCCACTGGGAAGCAAATTCCAGCCAGTTTTCCCCTCTCTCCCTCTGCAGCTCTCCAGCAAACCTTGGCCACTCCTTTCCCTTTGGGAGTGAGAATCTCCCTGCAAAAATGAGCAATAAGAAGCCATCTCTGGTGGTTTGGAAATCCTTGATGATTTATCCAAAAAGAGAGGGGCTTCATTTGATGGTTCTGTGAGCATCTGCCACAGATTAACTCCTCCCTTTGTTTCCTAAATAAAATAGCAGCTCTTGCTGCCCATTCCCTGGGGCCTCACTGTGGCCATGGACAGAGAATTCCCAGAATGGTTTGGGAAGGGACCTTAAAGATGATTTGATTCCAACCCCCAGTGGGGCTGGGATGGGAGAGGGAAAATCCAAACTTCTCCAGCTCCAAGGACCCCACAGCCAGTTTGTTCTTGCTCGTTTTATGGCTCTTCCAGTCAGGATCTGATCCCAGGCTGGTCCCAGACTGTGCTCTCAAGGGGCAGCTCTGTCTCCCCTTTTCACTGCTCCATTCTGGTTTTCTGTTCCTGTTCCTGCCAAGCTCAGACTGGCTGGAAACCAAAGCCATGGGAGGAGGGAAAGGAGAGCAACTCTGCTGAGCTGGGATTTGGGGTCTCTCTCACCTGCTGGTGTCTCTCACACCTTCCCAAAGCTAAAAATGAGATTGTGCTGCCGCCAGAGAATCCCAGAATGGTTTGGGTGGGAAGGGGCCTTAAATCCCATCTCATCCCACCCCTGCCATGGCAGGGACACCTTCCTCTATCCCAGGCTGCTGCAATCCCATCCAGCCTGGCCTTGGGCACTGCCAGGGATCCAGGGGCAGCCACAGCTGCTCTGGGCACCTGTGCCAGGGCCTCACACCCTCCCAGCTGAGGATTTCTCCCCAAAATCCAAACTAAACCTCCTCTTGTGGCTTGGAGCGGGGCTGCCTCCATCCCTGCCCTCTGTCTCTGTGAGCCCAGCTGGGCAGGAACAGCCCCCCCTGCTCTCAGGACAGGGGTTTCCTGTTGGAAATGCAAAATGGCAAAAAAAAAAAACCTCTGAAAGATGAGAAGAGCCAAAACATGCACAGATGTTTTATCTTCCCACCTTTCCATCCCACTCCTG